AATCGGTACAGCTAATCATGTTGATAAAAGCACATGATGATGGAAGCAAAACCTTATTGAAGAAAAACGACTGAATATTATATGTCACGGACAAGCCTATCAAAGGAAAATAAAAAAGGCTTACAAAAAAGGTCAACCCTCATATTTACCATAAGAGGAATTTAATGGTAAATAATGTGCTTCCGGCCCAGAAGAATAAAATTGGAAAACGGGCAACAAAATATGAAGGACCCTTTGTGGTCAAATGAGCTTTCTCGGAAGGGGCTCTTATCCTCACCAATATGGATGGAAAAGAACTTCGACACCTAATCAACTCCGGTACGGTGAAGAAGTATTATGCTTGAAGACATTCCTCAAGACCCGTCAGGAATGAAAACCCGCAAAGGGCATCCCTGGGCAAAAGATAGGGTTTATATCCCTCGCTAGGATACGTCCTAGGCAAAAAGTAGATGTTAAAAAAAATTAAGAGCAATGGTTACTTTAGTCGAAAACCGAAAAGGCGGCTAAAGTAACATTCTTCCAAGAGCAAGCAGTCTGCATAGTCTTCACTCTGAGCTCAGGCATCTCAACTGAAGCAATTAGGAGAACCAGGGGGCAGATATCATGGACATGACTGTTTAAGCCTATACAGTATAGCCAACCCTGACCACCCATTCTTCTAAATACCTTTTGAAATCCTTCTATAAAAAAAATAAACTTTTGCTCATTTATCAATAAAATTCCCTTTCATTTCCTTTCTCTTGACCAAATATTATGGAAATGCCTCTTTATTGATAAATCATAAAATATGCACAAAGACCTTTAATCAAAGATCAAGCATGCATCTAAAAAAGAGGAATCATAAAAAATAATAAAAGAATAAAAGCCTGCTAGGATATTCTTAGGAAAAAACTAGGGTAGCCTGCTATATCGAAAACCTCAAAAGAACGATCTAGGAAAAAGATAAGGCAAAAGCCCCCTAAGATATTCTAGGCAAAAATTAAGGCAGCCCGCTAGATCGAAAACTCGTAAAGGGCGGTCTAGGCAAACGATAGGGCTAAAACCAAAAGATGAATAAAAAAGGAGCCCATCATCTTGGTCATAAAGGAGGAGTCCATCGGCATATTCATAAGAAGCCAACAGGAGAAGGTCAGTCACTTTCTAAATGCATCAAAAATAAATAAACAAATAGATTGCATTTAGGACATCCACACACAAAGTAGTTGCATAATACGACTTTGTCAAAAAAAAAAAATTTCTTCAAACAAGAATAATAAACATGCATATAAGGAAGATAGTCTCCATACTTGTGATTGAAAATAGGAGGCACCAGAATCTAGTCTCCAAATAAAAATCAAAATCGTGAAAGAAAAGGCGAAATCAAAACCATTTCAGCAGAATAAAGAGCTTCAAGGAAACTAGCTCTAACCTTCTACACCAATAAACGAAGGTACACCAGAAAAAGGCCAACGGAAAGGCTCGATGATCCCCAAATGGATCCTTGCCTACTCCAAAGGCAAAACAAAAATTACTTCATGACTCAGCATCACCACATGAGTCGTCAAAAAGAGTCATTTAAAGCTTCAATCAACACCCTTCCATCCAAGAAAAAGGAAGTCATCAACATGAAAAAGCCAACGGAAAGGCTTGATCATCCCCAAGTGGATCCTTGCCTACTCTAGAGGCAAGACAAAAAAATTACCTCACGACTCAGCTGCATCACCACATGAGTCATCGAACACACTCATCCAAAATATCCGCCTCATTCCCCAAAGGAGAATAAGGACTACACAAAGATCAACCAAAGAAGATATAGAGTCAAAATCTCCATATCTCCATGGGTTCAACAAACAAAAAAACTTTCATTCCCCAATAGAGGCACGAAAAAGGCCGAATAAAAAATCTCCAAGTAGAGCATATCAGAAAAGTCTACAAAAAGAGGAAAACAAGAAAATTTCCATCTTCCAGCTCAAATAAGAGCTTCACAAAGCCAGGAGTCAAGACTCCATCATCAAAGTTGGATCCCCAGGAAGCTGACAAACTCCTTGGTGAATCTCCAAAAAAGAGAAAAAGAAGAAAATATCTTCATTCCACTCAATAAAGAGCTTCACAAAAGTCAGGAGCCAAGACTCCATCATAAAAAATCAAATCAAAGATTGGATCCCCAGGAAGCCAATAAACTCCCTGGGATCACCAAAAAGAAAAGAGAAAAAAATAAATCTCTTCATCCAGCAGGTAACAAAAAGCCAGTGTGCATAAAAGGCGCACACATTTAAAAGCCAAATTTCCAAAATCGCAAGAGAAAGATAAAAACCCATTCCCCAGCGGAATAAGAGCATAGGCAAAGCCAGCTCAAAACAACAAACATCCAACAAGGAGTCAAAAACTCCATTTCTCCCTAGGGGGCAAGTCAAAATAGATCTCCGGGAAAACAATCAAATCCCCGATGGATCATCAAAAAGAAAAAAATATCCCCAATGAGCCTATCAGCAAAGGCAAAACTACAAATTCATATCCTCAGGGAATTAATTTCCTATAAACGCCCAATATGGATATCCCTAGTGAAATGCAAAGCCTTCACTTCCAATAAAGCCTCTGCCTACTCAGAGACGAGCAAAGAGCTAGTATCCCCAAGAAACGGGAAATCAACCTATGCAAGAGGCAATGCAAGCCCAAAGCATAAAGTCTTCACCACTATTGAAGCATCCGCCTAATCAAGAGGCACAATCAATAGAAATCAACAAATCCTCAATGGATTCCTGCCTAAATTAAGAGGCAATCATCAATAAACCCCGGCAAAGACCATACGGCAAAATAGAAAAGCTCGAAACCACAAATCCCCAGGAGATTCCTGCCTAAAACAAGAGGCAACCAACAAAAAATCCCCGGCAAGACCGGATGGCTAAAAAGAAAAGCCAAAAACAAAATCCCCGGTAAAACCGGATGACTAAAACAGAAAAGTCAAAAAGAAAGAAAATCAATCACTCACCATGGAATAGGCGCATGATCAGAGACAATAAGCCGCCAACACATCTCCAAAAACCGGATGAGGGTTTGTACTCATCAATCAAAAGATTGAATGCCTAAAGAGCATCCCAAGAGCCTTATAGAATAGGGTTCGTACCAGGTGGGGGTAGGTACCCACAAGAGCCTTATAGAATAGGGTTCGTACCAGGTGGGGGTAGGTACCCACAAGAGCCTTATAGAATAGGGTTCGTACTGGGTGAGGGTAGGTACTCACCAGAGCCTTATAGAATAGGGTTCGTACCGGGTGAGGGTAGGTACTCACCAGAGCCTTATAGAATAGGGTTCGTACCAGGTGGGGGTAGGTACCCACAAGAGCCTTATAGAATAGGGTTCGTACCGGGTGAGGGTAGGTACTCACCAGAGCATTATAAAATAAGGTTCGTACCAGGTGGGGGTAGGTACCCACAAGAGCCTTATAGAATAGGGTTCATACTAGGTGGGGGTAGTTACCCACAAGAGCCTTATAGAATAGGGTTCGTACCAGGTGGGGGTAGGTACCCACCAGAGCCTTATAGAATAGGGTTCGTACCGGGTGAGGGTAGGTACTCACTAGAGTCTTATAGAATAGGGTTCGTACCAGGTGGGGGTAGGTACCCACAAGAGCCTTATAGAATAGGGTTCGTACCGGGTGAGGGTAGGTACTCACCAGAGCCTTATAGAATAGGGTTCGTACGGGTGAGGGTAGGTACTCACCGAGCCTTATAGAATAGGGTTCGTACCGGGTGGGGGTAGGTACCCACAAGAGCCTTATAGAATAGGGTTCGTACCGGGTGAGGGTAGGTACTCACCAGAGCCTTGTAGAATAGGGTTCGTACCGGGTGAGGGTAGGTACTCACCAGAGCCTTATAGAATAGGGTTCGTACCAGGTGGGAGTAGGTACCCACCAAAACCTTATAAAATAAGGTTTGTACCGGGTGAGGGTAGGTACTCACCAGAGCCTTATAGAATAGGGTTCGTACCGGGTGGGGGTAGGTACCCATCAGAGCCTTATAAAATAAGGTTTGTACCGGATGAGGGTAGGTACTCATCAGAATCTAGCAAAAATGTAGATTCATACTAGGTGGGAGTAGGTACCCACCAAAGCCTTATAAAATAAGGTTTGTACCGGATGAGGGTAGGTACTCATTAGAATCTAGCAAAATGCAGATTCATACCAGGTGGGATTAGGTACCCACCAAAGCCTTACAAAATAAGGTTTGTACCGGATGAGGGTAGGTACTCATCAAAATCTAGCAAAATGCAGATTCACACCAGGTGGGGGTAGGTACCCATCAAAGCCTTACAAAATAAGGTTTGGACCGGATGAGGGTAGGTACTCATCAGAACCTAGCAAAATGCAGATTCGCATCAGGTAGAGTAAAATACTCACCAAAGCATTACAAAAAATGGGTTGCAAAGACCTTGCTTCTATTAGAGGATAGTTCAGTGTTGAGCACCTCGGAAGTAAGTACCAACAAGAGTTTAGCAAAATGCGAACTCGTACCAGGTGAGGGTAGGTACTCACCAAAGCCTTGCAGAACAAGGTTCGTACCAAGTGGGGGTAGGTACCCACAAGAACCTTATGGAATATGGTTCGTACCAGATCAGAATCTAGCGAAGAGCAGATTCATACCTAGTGGGGGTAGGTACCCACAAGAGTCTAGAGAAATACAGACTCATACCTGGTGAGGGTAAGTACTCACCAGAACCTTGTAAAAGAAGGTTCAAACCAGATAGGGGTTGGTACCTATCAAAAATATTTATCATCCGGAGGATCAGCAAACTTCAAGCGAAGGAGCATCTGAAGGACAACCGGGCAAAAAGGGTTAACTCCTTCCCCTACCAATTAACTTTGTCGGCATATTAGGCCAACAAATTAGGCAGGTAGGTGAAGGGGGGGCAGCTGATCGATTCTTTGTTGGGATCCTTCCTTTCTTCAAACGGAACGAACAGAGATAGAATCAGAGCGATTCCTTAAAATCCTTTCTGGATATTCCTCAATGTGCCGACTATTCATGGAACGTGAGAAGCAGATGAATAATCATCTGCTTCCGGAAGAAATCGAAGAATTTCTTGGGAATCCTGCAAGAGCCACTCGTTCTTTTTTCTCTGACAGATGGTCAGAACTTCATCTGGGTTCGAATCCTACTGATAGGTCTACTAGAGATCAGAAATTGTTGAAAAAAGAACAAACGAAACATCTTGCTCTTTCCAGGCGATCGGAAAAGAAAGAAATAGTGAATTTCTTCAAGATAATTATGTACTTACAGACCCCTAATTTTGCCGGGCCTCTCAATAAATGCTAAGAAGACTTCCTATATGAAGATAAAGCTTTCCCGACATCTCAATAAAGGCCAAGAAGACTTCTTATATGAAGATAAAGCTTCGATGGACGTCTATCGGCATCAATCGATGTCCGAATAAAGAAAGGAAAGCTTCCTGGGGGTCCTAGAACACAAAATCTAGCAAAAACAATCGAGATGGCCGTCCCAGAAGTTGGGATGGCCGTCCCAGCCAGCCCAGACGGCCGTCCCAAGTGCCAAATGGCCGTCCCACCTTGTTTTGATGCTTGGGACGACCGTCCCAAGTCCCAGACGGTCGTCCCGGCCTCCCCAGACGGCCATCCTGTTAGAATCGCGCAGCGGAATGTTCGCGTGGTCGGACAAAAACCAAGAGGGGGGATGAATTTGTTTCTTAACAAAAATTAGGTTTTCAAAATTTTCCCCAAATTTTACCGATTAAAAATTGTGTAAATGTAAATAGAGTAGAGATAAAATCTTACACAGGAGATTTATACTGGTTCAGATCAAAAGACCCTACGTCCAGTTGCTAATCACTCAAACAGAGGATTAACGCTGTGACTATGATCAAAGTTGTTACAAACAAATTACAATTAAAAAGATAAAGTAAAGAAAACACCTCTCTTGAAATCCACAAGAGATGAAGAATAGCTTTCCCCAGAGACGGCACAACACACAATCCACTAAGAACTCCACTTAGTGATTCTTATCGCTTCTAGCCCACACCAGGTTCCAAAAGCCCCTTTTTCTTGCAACAAACAGTTCTCTGGCACTCACAGCACTTAACTTTTGTATGAAAAAGGTTGTTCTTCTTTTCTGAGTGCCATAGAGAAGCTTAAGTAGAGAAATTAGGGTTTTGGAATTGGGAATTTCGAAACTAGGGTTCTTGGAAATAGAGTTTTCAAAAATTGGGTTGATTTGAAGTTAAAAATCAAAATCTTACTGAAATAATCGATTAAATGAAGTGTTAATCGATTATTACAGAGTCAAAACCAACAGAATCCCAAAACTCTCTGTTTTAATCGATTAAAAGACCTGTTAATCGATTAACAGGCATGTTAATCGATTAACAGGGGTGTTAATCGATTAAACCAGTGAGCAGATACAGAAAATGATTTTTCTCACTATTATTAAACGATTATTTCACCAATTAATCGATTAAAGCCGAGCCCCTTTGATAAATTTGAGCTTTTTGAAGCTTCTAAGGTGCAGACTATGTACCGGCTATCTCAAACTCTAATATTACATACTCAATCTAATCAAAACAGAGTTATTACAATATAAAATAAGTCTTCAACTCTCTAAGTCTTGTGTTCTTGAATCATCATCAAAATCAACAAGCTTCATATCCATCAAGATCAACATCAAGTCCTTGAATGTTCAACAATCTCCCCTTTTTTGATGATGATCAAAATTATCTTTTAAAGCCTTGTAATAACCTGTTTTATCTGTCATACTAACAAACACAATAAACATACCAGATAATATTTAAAAACAATCATATTAGGCTTTAAATATTTTCTCCCCCTATTTTGATTAGAATCAAAAAATAATTCTTCTATTACAAACATAAGAGCTCCCCCTCAAAATATGCATAACTTAGAGATAACTCCCACTCAATCAAATCAATAACAGACACCACATTTTATTTCAGAGAGAAGCATTCATTACAATATAAGAAGAAACAATAATTACAAATTTAAAATTCTTCACTATCATCACTATGAAAGTGTGCATCAAATCTATTTTCTAAACGGCACACTTTATCATCTATATCAGATATACGACGAATTATTTCCTCATGCCGTACTCCAGAAAGAGTGAAGAATGACTGCATTCTCTGATTCATGTCAGATAACATGTCTTCCATGGATTGTCGGGTTTCATGATGAGTAGAGGAAGTTCCAACACTTTGGATTTGATCAGAGGGAAACTCAGCAGCAGGAGGCATATCTTCATCAGAATCTTCATTGTCATCACCTTGGTTTGGAACGTCATCCTTGTGAACATAAATATCGTTGACGCGCACCATTTGTAGTTGGATCAAAGTGCTGTCGAGCATGCGATTCAAGTTATTTGTTCGTACTGTTTGTTCACCTTCAACATTTACTCCTTTGTATTCAAGGATGCGAGAGACAATGAGAGCATATGGAATTGTGAAGGTGGGATTGCGTTTGGCTTTTAACATAGTCATGGTGACAAGAACGCCCCAATCTAAAGGTTCATTATTCATTATGGCATGAATAATACGAAGATCAATTGAAGAACATTGAGCATGATTCGTAGCCCGGGGACAGATGATCCAAACAAGTAGATGTAAAATCATGTGCTCCTCCTTCTTCAAAGGTCCAGCAAGAAGGAGACGCCCAATCTCCATGGAGGGATTTCGCAGAAAAGAACGGTAAGCTAAGAACCTGTCAAAATCATCTAACTCACCATACACGTTAATAGCATCTTCTCTAATAGGAAAGTGAGCGACATTTTCCCAAATATCATCGTCAAGAATAATTGTGACACCTTTTACTCTAGAGGTAGCAATTTGATCTCTAAATTTGAACCTAGAGTAAAATACCTTAACTAAGTCAGGATAATACGTACCTTGCATTTGGATGAAAGGGAGAACTCCTTGAATTTCAAGGAGGTTGGGAAAGTTGAATCCCCTATTGATGAACTGCTCACCAATATGGAACTTAGGAGAAATAATAGCACGCTCCTTCCAATAGGACAGAAATTCTTGTCAGCCGTCTGCATCAGAAATCCATCCTTCTACAGAATTAGGACGGGGTTAAGATGAGGGTGCAGATCTTCTTCTAGTGGGGATTTTTGCACGAGAAGATGAGGCCATTGAAGGATTAGAAGAGTAACAAGAAGATTTAAGAGGACAAGTTAAGTGAGAAGAAGGCAAGATTGATAGAATGAGGCAACAAAGCTTGATTTCAAGAGACAGAAGTGAGTAGAAGTGAAATGGAGGTCCCTATTTATAGCCAAGCATCTCCAACGGTCATATGAAAGTGAATAATGGTCAAAAGAGTCGTTGGCAACGGCTAGGAAACCAAACTTGTCAGGTTTAATCGATTAAAACTCAAATTAATCGATTAAACCAGTATCAGACCCAGTTAATCGATTAATTTGAGCTGTTAATCGATTAACACTGGTTTTAATCGATTAATGGACGAATTAATCGATTAATCCAGAGAGGAATGTCGTGTTTTGGGTGTTTTGGATGCAAATAATCGATTATAACTCCAATTAATCGATTATTCCAGAGAGTACATCAAATTTTTGAGGTTTATACACATGATAATCTATTAACATCCTACACAATGAATTATACATCACAACCATCCAAAAACTGTCTAATTAAGCAGAATTTAAACTATTTCTAATATCCCTAAGTCTCTTCTAAGATCATAGAATCTATCCTTGGGTAGAGGCTTAGTCAAAATATCTGCTAATTGATGCTTTGTATCAACGTACTCTATTTTACAGTTTCCTTTGCTGATATGATCTCTCAAAAAGTGATATCTAATTTCAATGTGCTTAGTCCTAGAGTGCATTACTGGATTCTTAGTAAGATTGATTGCACTCGTATTATCACACATCAAAGGTATGTCATTTAAAAATATACTATAATCTTCTAACTGTTGTTTCATCCACAGAATTTGAGCACAACAATTACCAGTTGTAATATATTCAGCTTCAGTGGTAGATAAAGCAACACATGCCTGTTTCTTAGAATGCCAAGATACTAAGGATGAACCTAACAAATGACATGTCCCACTAGTACTTTTCCTATCAATTTTGCATCCACCATAATCGAGCATCAGAATATCCTATTAAACTAGTACAAGCATCAGATGGATACCATAAACCAAAACCAATAGTTCCTTATAAATATTTTAAAATATGTTTTACTGCAATTAGGTGAGATTCTTTTGGACAAGCCTGAAATCTAGCACACATACAGACATAATGCATAATATCAGGTCTACTTGCAGTTAAGTATAACAATGAACCTATCATACCTCTATACACAGATTGATTAACTTCCAAACCTGATTCATCCTTGTCTAGATAGCATGAAGTTCTCATGGGTGTGTTAGCTTCCTTTGAGGTGTCCATTCCAAACTTTTGAAGGATCTCTTTGCAGTATTTGGTTTGAGAGATGAAAATGCCATCTTTAAGTTGCTTGATTTGAAGTCCAAGGAAGAATGTCAATTCTCCCATCATAGACATTTCAAACTCTCCCTGCATTATCTTAGCAAATTCTACACATAACGAATTATCAGTTGATCCAAAAATAATATCATCAACATATACCTGGACCAATAAGATATGCTCTTTTACTTTCTTTATAAACAACGTAGAATCAATTTTTCCTCTAGAAAAATTATTTGAAGTTAGGAAACTACTTAGCCTTTCATATCAAGACCTAGGAGCTTGTTTCAACCCATATAATGCTTTCTTTAATTTAAAAATATGATTAGGATAACTAAAATCTTTAAATCCAGGGGGTTGCTCCACATAAAATTCTTCTTTAATAAAACCATTCAAAAATGCACTTTTAACATCCATTTGATATAATTTAAATTTCATCAAAGATGCATAAGCAAGAAGTAGGCGTATAGCCTCTAACCTGGCAACAGGAGCATAAGTTTCATCATAGTCAATACCTTCCTCCTGACAATAGCCTTTGGCAACAAGTCTGGCTTTATTCTTTGTTATGTTTCCATCTTCATCAAGTTTATTTCTAAATACCCATTTAGTTCCAATTACTTGATGTGATTCTTCTCTTGGGATTAATTCCCAGACTTGATTCCTTTCAAATTGGTTAAGTTCCTCTTGCATAGCTATGCACCATTGGTCATCTTTAAGTGCTTCCTCAACATTTTTGGGTTCTATCTGTGACACAAAAGCTACAGACATGCAGAAATTAG